GTTTGGAGATGCTATCACATGCTTTTGTACTTATAGGTCGATCCTACAAAGCATTTGGCACCCTTAATGGTTTGCCACCTCGGGTGGTACCAATATCTGGTCTGGCCCATGGACTCTAAATGTATGAGGCCTTGTCCGAAACGAGCTCCCAGAGTTGCAACTACGTCTGCTGTCAGCATTTCCCCACGTATTTGCAGTGCCGGGACGAAGACCTACCGTACAATAGCCCTAGACGAGAGATTCGGATACGACCTTATTAGCTTAACCGTGGACAAGTAACGAGCCATAATTGGATAACCTTCTCCTTTAAGCTTAGGCTCCAACTTACAGGACTTTTACAGGTACGTATGTCAAACTTTCTTCTTTTCCCCTCAAAATTCAGACACGGAATCTGTACGTATACATTTATATCTTTTGGGAAGAGAATAACGATAACAACAATGTGGTGCTTATAATAATTATAGCGCTTTATACCAAAGGTGTCAAAGCGCTTCACAGTGCAGAAGGGGTTCGGCTTGGGTGTGAATACCTCCAATGTCATGCCAAATTATATGCAGTTCTAGGCCTATTATTTCGCTCCTGGTATAATGGTGTCTGCTTGTCCTTTCAACCGCTGACTGTCTGTATCAAGGTGAAAAAGGTTGTAGGTTGTATCATTCTCCACAGCATGGTAGACTAAGAAGCATATAGGCAAGCCCAAAACGATAATTTCTAGTGTAAAAAAACATGCCCAAAATCTTGTATCAACCCTATCACTAAACTGAAAGCACTATATGATACTCGTGTTGCAGTGAACTCACATGGACCAGTTTGTATGAGAATAGCCTTTTTTTCAAACGTCAGTATAGTACACAAAAAAGGAATCACTGCATAAAAAGTGGCGATGTACTTCATCTTTAAAAACAAGACAAAGTTACTGTACCTAGTAATCACCCCGACACCAGCTTCTATATAAGTAGTTTAGGGGGCCTATTGAGCACACTTTGACCTTTTCTAAAGAAATATGAAAGGTCACATAACTATGTAAATATGTATATACAGATATAAATATTAATTAATTAATCTTTTCTATGGGAAAGATTGCATAAGGTATGGAAAAAAATATAACAATTTCAATACTGTATATCTATGTATCTACATGTATATTGCAACTGGTGGCGCAATGTGAATGAACAGCTGCGTCGGATAATCCCCTGACAATAGACGGGAGAGGGGCGCGTGCTAAGTCAGCGCACTAGTATTGTTACGAAGTTAATCCGATCGATACAAAAAGTAATTGGATTTCCGAATGCTCGAAGTTGAGATAGGAGGAACATTCACTTGCGTAAAGCACGGATCCTACACACAAGGATTAACGACTCGGCCCAACTCCTGGTTAGACGCGTGATAACGGCCTGGTGGCAAATACCATGAATACTTTTCAACAAAGACCACTGCGCGCGGTGGCTTTCATATTTGCAAGGCTCTTCGCCCGATCTGGCCTCGAAGTCTGTCAAGCCAGCGAATTATATTTTTGAATATTCATGAGTCTACGTTTTTGGTCTTTATTATTGAATTCTGATAAGTGATAACTATATAACCATGGTAAATTTGACGTTTATTTCCCGGGTAAATACTTCATCTATGACGACAAAAACTGCACAATATCATCTGTTATATCCTGAAGAATTTATTTTTAAAATAATTTGGAACAATAATATCTTAAATAACAAGTAGTTTTAGTTACAGTTTTATGAATATTTCCGTTTTAGATGTCGTGCAAAAACCCAACACAATGGAAAATTCGCGATTACGCGCCAACGGGTATTAATGCCCGTTATCACGCGGTACTAGAGCTCAGAACAGTCGTTTATCCTGGTGTCTAGGATCCGTTCGTAAAGAAAGCAGCGACAGATGGCAAAATGAATTTTGCGTTAATCAGAATGTAACGAGTACGGTTGTCTATTTCAAGAATTATTTTAAAGTCATTTTTATTGAATTTATGGACATTGTGCACTGAATGGAGCGATACACTCAGGATATGTTTTACTCGTCTTATCTGCAATTGCCGCACGGCAATTGTAAATTATCGATGAATTGTAAATTATCGATGAAACGGTGCCCCTTTAACGTTACTGTACAGGAATCCACCGAACCCTAGTTGAACCAGTAGCACCGTGCCGGACTTGTTTACAAAATCAAGGATGACTGGGTTTGTTAAAGCATTTACGACCATTTACGGGGGTTATTTAGAGGGCGTGTCCAAACACTAATTTTATTGCTGATAGTAGGCTTTTCCGATTGTTTAACTGTAAAACAACACTAACAAAGAAAAATACAACTGCAGAAAGTATATACATGATAACATTATTGCTTTATTGACGTCATTTCTCACTGAAACACTCGTGTTTTATTTTTGACTGTCCCAATGTATTTCTTCGCAATTATATCGTCATTGTAATGTTAACTAGTCTTTAATCATCACTGTCTTTCTCGCTGACGTCTTCTTCATCTCGTTGGAATAGTCCGTCAAATTTCATCTGGTGTTTAGGCATAATTCTGCTGAGAGCCTTTTGTACGTCGACACCTTTAATGGTTTTTCTTCGAGATTGTCCACAATATCTTGATGAGTGTCACTATCTTTCAGTTTTGGTAGCTTGACAGAAACCCCTTGTACTTGTTAAAAAGATTCGCTTGACTGCCCAGAGGGTCTTCCTATCGGCCTTTTCCTTGGCCTGATCTTCACCCATACCCTTGTTGATGTACTTTTCATGTTTTTCGCTCCTCATTTCATGAGCTGCTTCTCTGGGATCTTCCAACCAGTCTCGAAAAGTAGCATTCTGCTCATTATACTCAATTCTGTGCTCATTCTACTAATTTACTCATTTTGCTGCTCATCCTGCTCATTTTACTCAATTCTGTGCTCATTCTGCTCATTTTACTCAAACGTCTGCTCATTCCAGCTCATTCTGCTCATTCTGCTCATTTTATGCTCATTCTACTCATTTTACTCATTTTGCTGCTCATTCTACTCATTTTACTCATTTTGCTGCTTATCCTGCTCATTTTACTCAATTCTGTGCTCATTCTGCTCATTGTACTCAAATGTCTGCTCATTCCTGCTCATTCCTGCTCATTCTGCTCATTTTCTGCTCATTCTGCTCATTATACTCATATTGTTGCTCATTCTACTCATTTTTGGTACTCATTCTGCTCATTTCTTGCTCATCTATTGCTCATTTGCTCATTCAATGCTCCTTCCTTGCTCTTTTCATGCTCATTTGCTCATTTTGCTGCTACTCATTTTTGCTATTTCACTTATTCTCTGCAACCTTTAATGTTAACGCTGAAGTATTTGCAATAAAAACACTTTTGAGATTGGTCATCTTTTTTATATTACTCTTTTTTTATCTCAAAATATTTTACATAACTATACAGGATGTTTTTATATCAACAATAGGAAAACAACTGGAAACATTTTAATCTAAATCAAGTCAGCAAACAGACATTAGGTAAATTACTGTAAACAAACATTAAAAATACTGTTGAATCAAACATTTTGTTGGAATTATACTATCCATCGACATGACAACAATGATACAACACTGACCTACCGTTTTCAGGTTCTTCGACCCTCTTTTTGACGTGCATATCAACATACTTGGTAAAAAGACGATTTCTGGCATGAATAGTCGAATATTGTGAGACAATGTGTACGATGTTGCAACACGTTGTGCAATCACCACAGCTGTTTTTTGATCTCGCACTCGCAGCTATAACGAATATTATAACTATTATAATTATTTTTAAACTATTAAACACTATGAAGAGAAAGCATGCATGCGTGTTATTGTCAGTATTTTTCTGTTCGTTTTTTCTCTCACATTACATCTCGTATATAAAGTCATCTACCAACGTTGAACGCTTTTCAGCGACTTCCACTGTTGTCTATTTAGGTGAATGCCTTTCACTGTGGGATACAATCCCTCCCAAGTAACCAAACATGCTCTGATGTCTACGATAACATCTTCCTCAAAAAGAAAGACACTGATAACTACATTTTCGGTTAAAGGGAGAATGTGATCACAACCAAACTCCGACGACACATTGGGTTTATAGACATTTACAGTTTGCAACACAGAATTTGTCGTTGGAACGACGGACGTGGAATTGCAAACGTTCTGAACGTTCGAAGGTTGGAATACGTACCATATCAAACATTTAACGTTATTGATATAATCATCAAGAAAAACGTCACGATGCCCACAACGTGCACGCGGTTACTTATCCCTCTTTTCATTTCTGAATTTCAACCTCCAATTATAGATATCACTATTTTGCACACACAAAAGCGTGCGTATTTTTTTTTTGATCCCCCAAAAACAGGCCGACATGCAGCCTAATCTCGTGTGCGATCAATCGGATTAACCACTAATCCATAGTCCACTGACCACATGGAAAGTTATATACGACAATACCGTCTATTTTCAGGGGATTATCCGACCAGCTGTACGTTCACAGGGACTTGCACAATCGAGTGACACCCATTTTATATCTCGGGCTAAGGTCAAAATGTGCCATAACATTGTTTATTTTTCCATACCTTATGCAATCTTTCCCATAGAAAAGGTCAAACTGTGCTCAAACATTTTAACCTAACCTATTCCATATCCATCCCATCCATACAATAGGTCAAACTGTGCCGAAAATTCCCACCTTCCTTAATTAATATTTATATCTGTATATACATATTTGCATATTTACGTGACCTCTCATATTTCTTTAGAAAAGGTCAAAGTGTGCTCAATAGGCCCTAAACTACTTAATAGACAAAACTGTTGTTGCAATCACGACTATCGTATTTAACACAGAGCCATATGGACGTCTGAAATGCATGGTTTAATCCTGAAACATCTTCAGTAACAGCCTCATGGCAATAATGCTTTGTTGAAATATAAGTATTCCTAATGCGGTCAGGGGCTCCAAACTTTATGTTCAAATGCATGCAGAAGATACAGACCATGGCATCGGTCGTGCTATCCACCCTACCCCCGATCTCGAACGAGACAGACCCAACTCAGCCGCTTCCCGTCGACCCGCTATTCGGTCAGCCTGTGCAGAAGGCCATCGGCGTCTTCACATTTGTGGTAATCGCAGTGGGTCTCGTGGGCAACTCGGCCGTTATCTACATCGTGGTGCGCTACCGTGACATGCACACGACGACCAACTTCTCCTTCGCCAACCTGGCGCTGACTGACATCCTCCTGTTGATCTTTAAAGCCTTGTCCAACACCCTGGACACCTTTGGCTACGCCGTGTCGGTGGGCCTCAACTGCTGGCCCACGTTCTACCTTCGACACGTACGTACTGGGGCGGTGCTACACAATTTACATGCAACTTGTTTCAACCAATCTCCTATAAGAAAAGACAAGCAAAATTGAATTACTTAGAGTGTTTGGAGGATTTTTCATGAAGCATTTAAAAACGTAATTTGATCTTCCTATTCTTTAGCTCGCAAACCATTTTTGTTGTGATTACGGGAGACGTATAAACTAATACGAAGTTACAACTTACCGTTTGAGTCCTTAATACATCAGCAGTGGGGGGGGGGGTACAACTCTTTTCAATTTTATTATGGATAAAACTAAAAGCTTTCATTGCCCTGACACATTCATCCGATGACAGGTTATTGTTGAGGTGACGGTACTTACGTTGGCGATGATGTCATACGACCGATGGAGATTGGTTGCGTACCCGCTGGAGGCCGTCAAACACACCGAAAGACGCAAACGGGTTTTTCTGTTCGGTATAGTCATTCTGTGGGCTGGTAAGTGACATCAGGCGACGGTAAAAAAAAAAAAAAAAAAAGAAGATTTATGGATGTCTTTCTAGTGATTTAGTATTCACGGTTACTATTTTGAAGGTCTTGATCTGTAGTTCGTTTCCTGCTTTTGTTTTGCTCTCAGTGTCATTTGCGATGTATGTTCCGGTCATCGTCTACTCGGTCAAAGTATCCCTTCATGCTGTCTTTTGCACCATTTGGTTTCCTTGGGAATACGGCCAGAAGGTTTTCCAGACCTACACCGCCATCACAATGTACATCGTTCCGCTGATTTTCATCTCCGTGTGCTACCTGAAGATCTGGCTGAAGCTTCGACAGAAGACAACAGGTTCCGCTACAGCGTCGGGTACCAGCACGGCCAGAAGCTCCCAACGCATGCACCGAACTCTCCGTTTAATCATGGTTGTGATCGCGGTCTTTGCGCTGTCGTGGCTGCCGTATCGCTTGCTCATGATGTGGTTGGCGTGGGACCCCGACTTCCTTGCCTTCAGTCCCTTTACCTAATCGGCTCGGACATAGCCAATTTGATCGTGTACCTGAACAGTGTGGTCAACCCTTTCATTTACCCATTTGCCGGTACCGGTTTCAGAAAACACCTTCCGGCTTACGCGGAATGCTTGCGCGCGATCAGACGGTTTCATCACGAACCACGCCAAAAAGAAGTGGCGATATCGCACAGATCAACGCGTTTTCCGCGATGGCCCCTTCTCCGTGTCAGCACACGAGCATGGAGAGTCTGAGCGTCGGCTGCCAGACCTCACCTTAGCTGCCGCATGCATCGAAATGAGCCAATTTGAATGGATTTGGCTCCCTTAAATAAGGCATACAGAATTAGTGCTTTTCATGCATTTTATTTGTTAATAATAACACCACTCACAATGCAAAGAAGAATGTTAAAAACATAACCTATTGAAGTTTCAGCTCAGGGGACATTTCACTTTTCGATCAAACTTTTGATCACGAAACACGATTTCGTCCATTTGAGCACAAGTAGGCCTATGTACAGAACTCTTTATTTCCAAAAATCAATCAATTGGCTAGACGTTTGAATTCACCCACAACAATTCCTCGTTTCTATATGAAATATAACCAGAAGGAATAATTTCACAAGGTGTTTACCAGTACCATCTTTAATCTCAGTTTTCGGGGTAGTAGTTCGGTATATAGGTTACTTTTGAGACAGGCATAAATTGAGATAAATTATCATGTGTGCCTTTATACAGCTTCGCTGAACGTCTTTTCGGACATGTCGTTATACATCGCACATAGCTATCGGCAAAAAGTACTCTTAAACCATGAACTCTTTCAAAATCAATTCTATTATGGGACGATAGATCTAGCCAACTTTTGATTCGTTTACTAACGAGAATACGCAAAGTTTTGCACAAATGTTTTAATAATTTTACAGTGTGTTGTATATTAAATAGAGTTAACAAAATATATTTCAATTTGTGACATGACTTCAATTTGTGAAGGTTAAAAGTAATTTCTATTTCTGCACCAGAACTAATAAGGGTCTGCAGCAATTTTTTTTCATCACCCAAATAAATATTTGTAAAAATATTACATGTTCTTAATGTCCAAAAGGAAAAGGATCGAAGTGGTTTATGTTTTTGCAGTTGGTAAAAATGATCGTTTTGTGTAAGTCTTCTAGATTTGAAATATGAAATCATTACCATCTGCTTAGTTTAATTTTGATTTATTTATTTCAAAATCGTGAAGAGAAAAATAGATGTATTTAAAGTATATTTGAAAAAAAATAGGGACAAGTATTCGTATATTCTGTTAATGTTTTGCAACATACATTAAATGCGAAAGAACCAGTATAGTTTGTATAAAATTACGTATTTATTTATTCCTATTTAATTGTTTAGTTGTTTGTTTGTTTTTTTCGATCGAAAACTGTACTAAGATCCAAGTACCCTTATATTTAGACGTGTTTTGCAAAGTTCGAGAAATTGTTTCGCATCTCGCTAGTGCTACATGTTGTAGTGGCTGACATTTATTTATTGGTAGAGTTACTATGTATAGACGAGGCTTCACCTCGCCCGCTTGGGGGTGGGGGATCGCGGTTGAGGGGCCTGTCGCCCGCCAGATTTGTGTGCGTTGTTTGCCTCGCTTTGATTTTCAAGATGGCGTACCCTCGGAAAGGTCTATTGTCCCTCTTTTGTAGGCACTCTAACTTTTTAGGATGACCTCCCACATGTTTTGTTCACGATCGTCAGTTGTGGACCTTAGGGAATTGTTGACCCTATATTGTCATCTATCAACATCCCATGTTGAATGCTAAAACAAACCCACATACACACACCCTGTCTTCTTTATAGTATAGCGAGGATGAAATAAATGTAAATTCAAGTTGCGTTTCATCGATATTTTAAATGAACTGATAGTGAATTGACTGGATACTATTTCCGCTAAACAGTATTTTGTACCATCTACTTTATCAGAGCGTCTCTTTGTTAGTTGTTTCAAATAACAGTTGGTAGAGCACCGGAACGGTAATCCGAAGGTCGCAGGTTGAAACTCCGCTCCAGTCAATTTCTTTGTTCAACCATAAAATAATTATATTACACTTAGTCAGTTTCCCTGTGCGGTTTCTTTTAAAGATTTGTAATTAATAGCCGTATCCTCTCAGAATGATCCCCGTTTACTATTTCCCGGGTTTCCAACATTGCTAATGTAAGCATCGTGACTTTGGGCGCGATCTCTGGCTGAATGGCAAACTGGTTTATGGCTTCTGACTATAGCGCCCCTCTAACAAAGACATTGACTAAATGGGGATCTGCCAACATATCATTTCAACACTATTCTACACAATAAACAATCGTATCAGCCTGATGTTGGTATTTCTGCATGCAGCAGCCACCGGGCATGATGATCCAGCAGTGTTTTAATTACAATCATTCAATAAATTTGAACCTAACGACTTGATATAAGGCCAAAAAAAAAAAAATAAGTCGGTCTCTGGTCAGCGCGCGCGTCGATTTTAAGCATGCGCGTCGATCTTTTTTTTTTTCCAAAATGTTCCGCGGTAGCTCCAACAGCGCCCTCTATTTCCGCACCTCCTCAATTTTTTTTTACCAAAGAGCACCAAGGAATGGGAAATTGCACCAAGGCAAATGATCAAAAGCACCAAGGCAAATTATGGAGGACACCAATGTACATGAGGACACCAAAAAAGCAAAATAGTACCCCACCTTGTCTGTACAATCCAAGCTTGAAGAAAAAAAAAAAAAGCAAAAAAAAAAAAAAAGCCGCGTGGCCGCGTCAATTTCGGAACTTTGGTCTGACCAGAGACCGAATATTTTTTTTTTTTGGCCTAAGCAAGCTTTACAGAACTATTGTTTAGGCGTGGGAGCCTTTCCGTTAGACCTATTTTCGTCAGAGCGAAGGGGGTTGGGTGGAGAACTGACGACGACACGTGACTTTTGACGTCACCACCCTTTGCAATCATAGGTTAATATATATTATAAATTCCGTACTTGGTAAGTTCACCAACTACATTTATTATTATTTTCGTCAGAGCGAAGGGGGTTGGGATGGAGGACTGACGACGACACGTGACTTTCGACGTCACCACCCTTTGCAATCATAGGTTTATATATATTATAAATTTCTTACTTCGATCGTCAGTCTTGGGGTTGGAGGTTCGAGCCCCAGCATGTCACTTACGACATATTTTTTTTTCGTCAGAGCGAAGGGGGTGGGGTGGAGAACTGACGACGACACGTGACTTTTGACGTCACCGCCCTTTGCAATCATAGGTTTATATATATTTTAAATTCCGTACGATCGGCAGTCTTGGAGTTGGAGGGTCCAGCTCCAGCATGTCACCAATGACATTTTTGTTTTCGTCAGAGCGAAGGGGGTAGGCTGGAGAACTGACGACGACACGTGACTTTTGACGTCACCGCCAAGTGCAATCATAAATTATATATATTATAATATCCATTTTTGTTAAGTGCGAGCCGGTAGCTCAGTCGGTAGAGTGACGTTCTTCGATCGTATGTCTTGGGGTTGGAGGTTCGAGCCCCAGCATGTCACCAACGACAATTTTTTTTTGTCAGAGCGAAGGGGGTGGGGTGGAGGACTGACGACGACACGTGACTTTTGACGTCACCACCCTTTGCAATCATAGGTTTATATATATTATAAATTTCGTACTTAGTAAGTGCGAGCCGGTAGCACAGTCGGTAGAGTGACGTTCTTCGATCGTCAGTCTTGGGGATATAGGTTCGAGCCCCAGCATGTCACCAATGACTTTTTTTTTTCGTCAGAGCGAAGGAGGTGGGGTGGAAAACTGACGACGACACGTGACTTTTGACGTCACCACCCTTTGGAATAATAGGTTAATATATATTATAAATTCCATTTTTGTTGAGTGCGAGCCCGTAGCTCAGTCAGTAGAGTGACGTTCTTCGATCGTCAGTTTGGGGTGGAGGTTCGAGCCCCACCGGGTCACCAACGTCTTTCTTTTTTTTGTCAGAGCGAAGGGTGTGGGATAGAGGACTGACGACGACACGTGACTTGTGACGTCACCACCCTTTGGAATCATAGGTTTATATATATTATAATTTCCATTTTTGTTGAGTGCGAGCACGTAGCTCAGACAGTAGAGTGACGTTCTTCGATCGTCAGGTTGGGGTTGGAGGTTCGAGCCCCACCGGGTCACCAACGTCTTCCTTTTTTTTTGTCAGAGCGAAATGTGTGGGATAGTGGACTGACGATGACAGGTGACTTGTGACGTCACCACCCTTTGCAATCATAGGTTTATATATATTATAATTTCTATTTTTGTTGAGTGCGAGCCCGTAGCTCAGACAGTAGAGTGACGTTCTTCGATCGTCAGTTTGGGGTTGGAGGTTCGAGCCCCACCGGGTCACCAACGTCTTTCTTTTTTTTGTCAGAGCGAAGGGTGTGGGATAGAGGACTGACGACGACACGTGACTTGTGACGTCACCACCCTTTGGAATCATAGGTTTATATATATTATAATTTCCATTTTTGTTGAGTGCGAGCACGTAGCTCAGACAGTAGAGTGACGTTCTTCGATCGTCAGTTTGGGGTTGGAGGTTCGAGCCCCACCGGGTCACCAACGTCTTCCTTTTTTTTTTGTCAGAGCGAAATGTGTGGGATAGTGGACTGACGACGACACGTGACTTGTGACGTCACCACCCTTTGCAATCATAGGTTTATATATATTATAAATTCCGTACTTGGTAAGTGCGAGCCGGTAGCCCAGTCGGTAGAGTGACGTTCTTAGATCGTCAGTTTTGGGGTTGGAGTTTCGAGGACCAGCATGTCACCAACGACATTTTTTTTGGTCAGAGCGAAGGGGGTGGGGTGGAGGACTGACGACGACACGTGACTTTGACGTCACCACCATATGCAATCATAGGTTTATATATATTATAAATTCCGTAATTGGAAAGTGCGAGCCGGTAGCCCAGTCAGAAGATTGACGTTCTTAGATCGTCAGTCTTGTGGTTGGAGGTTCGAGC